TGGTTTAAAAAAATATGTGTTTGCATACATTAAGTATTCATTTTTTATGTTTATTTAATTGTTTTTTGTATGTATATTTTAATTCTGCTTCTTGAATTCAAATAAAAAATAAAATGTTGTTATGTTAAAGGTCTTTCAGCAAAAGAATATGTTGATTCTGACAGAGCAATGTTATCAAGTCAACTAGAACAAAGAATAAAAGATTACCACTGTATGGTTATTCAGCTTAATAGATCTATAGAAGAAAAGAACAATGTTGAAAAAAAGCTAATGGCAGCTCAATTAAAGATTGATCAACTTCAAAAGTCTATTGAACAGCTTAAGGTATTTTGCAAACATAATTAGTTACATATTGTATTGTTTTTAATTTTTGGTTTAAAAACATTTCCAGTTTTCTACAATTACATTAGTTACAATTGGAAAAGATTATCATGAAATGTATCCTTTGAAAATGTGAGGACTGCAGCAAAACATTTTTGTAAGGCCTTCTTGAACAATGATTACTAGAGAATTTGGGAAGGGGAGGGGTATGGAATACCCTGTTTGAAAATTAAAATTGTTGAAATCTCGGCATCAAGTCTTTGAGAGCAATATTCAGAGTTTGAAAGTAGTTCCCAAAGGTCATCTATAAATTAAATAATCAGGTATTGGGAGGGGGTCACCCATAAGCGTACCAGTGCGTACAAAGAAAAGGTTGGACAATTTTTTTGTTTAAATTTTTTTCATATATAGTCTGGGAAAATCAGAAGAAAAAGCTTTGGTTTTTTTGTTAATGCATTAGTCTATCTACCAGAAGTAATATGTTACTGCGGCTTTGATATTGAATAAAAACAATGAAATATCGTGTAATTTTCATTCCTTTTGTAGCTGTTCTCAAAAATTTTATTTTAAATCAAGTTTTCACATTTAAATTATTATTAAAAAAGTATTCATCTTGAGAATTAAATTAAAAAAATTTTAAAGATTTTTATTTAATTTATTACTAAAGTAAGTTATTACTAAAATTTTAGTAACTCTGTCATTGAAAATGTTTAACGCATGATTTTTAAGCCAAGTTTTCTCGTCTTACTTTCCAAATTTGTGATTTAAAACTTTTGATTTTTCAAAATTCTATCAAGTTTTAATTTTATTATTTAAGTTTTCTATTCTCATTTGGACAACCATGTTTTGAAAATAATAAATATTCCAGTCTATCTGTTAGCAGTAATGACTTCATAATGTACCATTTATTGTTTGTAGAAAACAAAAAATAGTATATATATATATATATATATATATATATATATATATATATATATATATATATATATATATATATATATATATATACTTATACAAATATAATCTATAAATAACTTATATGCTGATGTAATTTGTAGAAATTTGTTTGTTACACCAGTAAAAACCAGGTCATGAAATTAGTGACGTTTTTTCTTTTGTTGGTTGTGAGCACGCCTAAAGTTTCAATAAACAATACATATAACAAATATAACAATAAACAGTAAAATCCTGTTAACTCAGACTCTGAAGAGATTTATATTTTAAATTTTCTTTTATAGTTCTAATTTTAAGCTTCATTCAGCTTCAACTTTTTAAATAAATAAACTTTATTATAAGTTTGACCAATTTGAAGATATCACTAAAAATATTTAGTTTGTTAAATTATATTTGACACAAGTATTTGATATTCTAATGTTTTGAATTTTGTTTGATATTTTTGAATTTTAAATGTAATAGTCATTAACAAATAGAATTTGATCGAATCTGTATGAAATTGAAGCTATTAATGAGTTTTTAGTTTATTATAAATAATTATTATAAATAAAGTATTGCGCTAGGTATTTAATTTTAAGCATTCAAAGTTTGGAATTTTATTACATGGACTTTTATACAATTCAGAGTAAAAGTTCTAGTTAAGCGAAGTTTTTGTCAAATGGACCCAAAATAACTGTGTGAGTTAGCAAAAGGCTCAACTTAACCAGGGTTTGATTAAGGGAGAATAGGATAAAGTTCAACAGGAGTTTAACAAAAAAACATCATGCTGAATTTAAATTTCAAATAAAAATAAATCACCGGCTTTCTTGTACTGAGATTTTTAATTTATGCGTGACGTACTTTATAGCGAATATTACTTCATTGGTATTATTTAAGTATTATTTAACAATATGCAAACTCTACTGTTTAATTAAAAATATTTTGACTCCAGCAATAGAAATAAAATATTTTCCCTAAAATATTTTCTATAAAATCAACTTTTATAGAAAATACAACTAATTTTCTCCCTTGCAAGTTTCTCAGATAAGTGTGATTTTTTACTCTCATAATGAAATTAGCAAGCACTATTTGTCGCGTATGGAATACCGATTACAGGTGTCATATACATAGAGCGTTTCGTCCCGCTTCATTATAAGGCCTGTAGTTAGTAATTTGTTCAAACCTTTTCAAGAACTGTGCTGCAGTGTTTGCAATAAAAAAAAATACTCCACTTTAAATGTTTCCTTGGTGGTTTCTACTGTAGGATCATCTTCTCCCTCACACTGAACAGTAATCAAACATTCTTCTTTTTTTTCTCTGCCTGACTTCTTTGAAATTTGGCTCTACACCCAGAGTTTCACTAAGTTCTCTTATTACCAATGTTGCCGCCATCAAACCTTCAGCTCTAAATTTCTGAAAAAACTGAACTAGCCCTTGAAGTAACTGTGACGCAACTATAAAGTGCATTTTTTGAGCCTGTAGGCTTGTACTGCAAATAGTATGTCATACCAAATACATAGGACTAGTATGAACTCATTATTACTTATTCCATTCATATTCATGTGTTTAATGAAAATATCCCATCACATTGTTGACACAGAAAAAAGTACATAAATTATTTGCACAACACCAAAAAACCTCATAGATTTAGGGAAACATTTTGCAACGTCACAAATTAAAAGGTCAAGGCTATGACTAGCGCAGGGCATGTAAAATGTCTTTGGATTTATTTCTAAAATCTGTGCCTGTACTCCAGAGTTGCCTGTACTCCAGAGTTGACAAGGTTATATATATAATATATAGGATATATCAATAGTATGGTAATCTTGTAAGAAATTTTGTTAAAATAAAATTAAATTTGAGTGGTTTAAATACTGCTCTGTTATTTAGCTTATATTTTGGTAGTGCATGCACCTTAAATGCCATAGAAGATTGTTCTGGAAAAATGTTTTCAGTTGTACAATTGAATATTTAGTCTTCTTAAAAAAAATATGGAAAAAAGGAAAATAAAATTAAAGAAAAAAGGACCCGTTATCATACCCTTGTCCTCTGCAGTTCTTGATTTACAATCCAATTTCATTAGTTAGGTTTTTCCCGTTGTTAATTTAGTGTCTAAAAACCCAAGGAAATTTTCTTCAGGGCTTACAACTTCATTTTCACTCTCAAGCGAACTTGCTTTCATATCAATTTTTATAAATTGTATGACCAAGGATATCTGCTCCTTGTGACTAAGGTCAGGTGTGTAGTCTAGCATTACTGAGAAATATTTAGTTGCTTTTATACCTGCAACATTCTTAGATTTTACCTTTTCAGACAGCAGCCTTGTTATTTTGTTTTAAATTTCAATGTCTGAAATTCATTTTCAATAAAATGAATTTCAGACAATTAAACTTGCCTAAGAAGCTTTTAAATAGCTGGGTCAAAAGTAGCCAACATTTGAATAGCTGGGTCAAAAGACTTTATATGAATGCCAACATTTCAATCAGTCCCAAAAAATTGCTGTTGTTTTGTTTGTATATTTTGCTGTTTGATCCTCTGAATGCAATTTTGTGTTCTGCTAAATATTTAATAACATTAAAAATTCTTTTTAGAACCTCACATCAGTGCTTTTTTTCTTTTTTTATCAATTCCATGTGCTTGGTATTGATTGTTAAAACTTTGTTTAAATGAATTTCACATTCATTCCACTTTTCAAACTTTTCAAGATGCTTTGGTGATGCCTCATGGGATTCACTGTCACCTTCGCAAGATAATTGAGACCCAGTGTTGTGACCAAATAACTTGCAGCAAAAATGTCAAACACTAACCCTCCAGTAGAAATTGAAAGGTTTTGAGGATCAAAAGGTTGAGACGGCAAAAAACATTTAGTTCATATCATTACTTGTACTTAAAATAGATTGATCTAAAAGCATTTCAGTTTTTTTAACCCACCATGCTCAAACCTTCAACAGCAGCTGATCCTCCATCTTGATTTTAAAAATCAGCTCCATCTTGTATTAAAAATTTAACTAGTGCACCCTGTTGTGATTTTAAAAACTTTTCACCTTTCTTCTTTTTCTTCAGTTTTTTATAACTATTTACAAACTTTCTATATTTGTCTCTTTCTCTAGATATGATTTAAATCTGTTTAATACACTAAAACCATTGTTGCTAAAGCCATAACGCTGATTAATTCGTATTTATAACATCTTTAATCATAACAAAAGCTATATACAGAATTTTTTTTATTTTTATTTTTCAACATCTTCGCATTCAACAAAGCTGCAAGCAACCACTATTAGAGTCGGAAGTTACTGGAAGAGAACCCACGACTTAAAAGATTGCAAATTATATGAATCAGGAAAGCAAGATAAAGGAAGTAAATCCCGAAGAACTGATGTTCAAGTAAAAAAACTAGACAATTAAGAGTTTTTAAGCACTTAATTACAGTCACAGTAAAAGAATGAGACTTGATTGAATGACGAGTAACATAAGAATGACTTTTAATAGATTGCACAAGAGATGCTAACTCTTTAGAGCAGTGCCCATAATAGTATTTAAAGAGAAAGAGAAACAACATTACCACAATGTAATAATGGTTGGAGGTTGGCTGCAAGAGCAGGTCCAACTATGTTTATAATGCGTTTTTGTACTTTGTCTAAAAGAGAAAGAACATCATTGAAAGATCCACCCCAGATATAGAACAGTATTCCATACAAGGACAGATTTGAGATTTATATAGATAAAGAATAGAATCCGAAGTAAGAAATTGTCAAGCATGATAAAGAGATGCAACCTTAGCAGATGCCTATTTTGCAATGGATTTGATATATGATTTCCAAGAAAGATTAGAAGTAAGAGTTAATCCTAGAAGATGAAGGATAGATGACTCATCGAGTACATTACCTTTTTTAAATATAGGAAGATCTAAATTTTTACTGTAACGATTGGCTAAAAAAAATTGGGTTTTTTCTGGTTTAAAGTTCATCAACCACTGTGAGCCCCATGCTGTTGCAGAAGTGAGATCCTTTTCAAGTTCAAATGTTCCCTCCATGCAATCAAAGAGTGTTGGCTGCTCATCAAGATAAGAA